CATGCTGATGTTGCTACATGCCTTACTTCTTGCCTATCTCACACTGCGAATTTTTTCTAAGCTCTATACTAAACATTAAATCTGTTACGAAAAAAGAACTAAACAAAATGAACACAAAACGATCAGCTTTAAAAAAAGCACTCGTAACTGGAAAAACCGAATGAAAAAAGAATGTTAACAACAAATACTTTTTCACACGCAACCCAGTTCTGCGAAATCAGAATCAACGTTGAGTTTAAGCAAACAAATGAGCCAATTGGAGTAAAGTGCCATGCAGATATAAATTTTTCCCACTTGTGACAAATGCAGCTATGGATTTATTTTGACTGCTAGCATGCTAGTTAACATTCTTGTCAGTCAGCTGTTGGCTCTCACGCTGGCCAATAGAATCTTCCTGCCTATTCGTGGCATCCAGCTATTGGCTCTCACTCTGGTCAGTACAAAATGGCCGCAAACTAATGAAAAGTGCCGTAGAAGCATGAAAAACTCGATTATTTCCACTATCGATGGGAGTTGGGAAATGCAAACTCGGTTTTGGCCTTCCCGCTAACTTGGGGCATGTGCATGTAAATCTTGGTGCAAATCCGTCGAAAATTGCGGCCGTGCATTCGTTACACACACACACACACACACACACACACACACACACACACACACACACATCCTGCCTTTTATAGATAGAGATATACGATCTAAGTCTTGATCACTTCCCCGGCGTAGAGACGTACATTAAAAAACCCATCCATCATGATAGTTGGAAGTTGTGGAGGGTGCTCTTCTCGATGACAGTGGAACGTAACTAGTAAGGTTTTGGACGTATTGAATTTTACAAGCCAGTCCTTCTCTCCTTGAGCCACGAGGGTCAGATCAGATGGGAGGTCAGCTGCGAGGTACTGGTCATCCAGATTTTAGGAGGTGCTTCTATAAACTGTTGTCTCGTCCGCATTGATATTCACTAAGGATTGATGTAGGATCATTAATAAGAAGCGGAAAGAATTTAGGACCGAAGAGAGAATCCTGAGGAACGCCGGCATTGATATCATGGCCTTCCGGTTCATTAAAGATCTCAAGTTAGGAAGTACTTGATAATTGAGAAAGACCGTTTAGAGATTCTGTAGAGTTTATGTAGCGGCACCCGATTTCAGTTCATTTTTCTCAAAGGTAGAAAAAGAAAATCACACATTGTCTTCAATCAGTCTTGCGTTTGATATGTCTAGGGCGATGGTCCGTGTGATGAATTTATTGTCTACTGCAGGGTTTCTCAAACTTTTTAAGCGACAGTACACCAAGGGCAAATACATCTCAAGACATCTAGACTTGCAAACACATACATGAGCATCCACCGAGAAAGGAAATGGTAAAAGTTTACCACACGCTGAAAAATTAATTAACATCAAAAAAAAAAAAAAAAAAAAATAGACAAAAAACTAAAAACAAAAAAACAAACAAACAAAAAAACAAACTGATAGTCGTTAAGTCTTTGTTATTTGGAAGTTTACTATTTTTACTGACAGCCATATAAAAGTTAATAGAATAGATATTAAAGATGGTAAAGAAAATAGCCTTTTCACAGATATGCCAGTGCTATCAGACAAAAATATATCTGTGAAAGAATGTGAGAAAATAAGAAAAAAAATTAAATTGAAATTGTAATAAAAAAAATGTGGTACTTTAAATTACTTTTTTTACGTATAATAACTGGAGTCCATTTTATGATTACAGAAGATACAGACAACAACATTAACAAAATTTGAGGTAGCTGTTGTTTACAAGGGATTTTTTTAAAAATTGTATTGCGTGGAACATCTCATATACTCAGGAAAGATTTGATAATAATCAATATAAAGAAAATATATAACATTGGATTGGTCGCAAAAAGGTTGCGATAAAGGGATTCCTGGTACTAGGTGCATTAAAGAAATACAACAAATTGTACACACAAGTACAGCTCGCATATTTCGAAGAACTTCATCTATGTAAAATGCGTGTGTTTTTAGGGTTTTCTTTCTTTATAAAAATAATCAGTGGAAAATGTCATGAAGACATTTCGGACCTTCAGTTACTTATGTGTCATGCGTGTTACACGTTTAGGCGATCATGTATCTTTCGATACATAACTGACGAGGCAGATTTTTTTTTCCCGCAGAAGGTTGACATTTCTTTCTGCGGTAGACCAGTTACCATCTAAGGCTATAAAACCCGGTCTGCTATTTACCCGGTTTGCTATACAGAATCCGGTCTGCTAGTAACCTTAATAATAATAATAATAATAATAATAATAATATTCAAACTCGCAGGGAAATAAAAGCCAACAGAACTGATATTATCATAAAAGACAAGAAATTCAGGAAGTGTATGCTTATTGACATGGCGGTGCCATCTGAGAATTATCGAGAAATTATCCAAATACAAGAACCTGGAGATTGAAATTAACATGATGTGGGGAATGAAGGTTGAGACTGTACCAGTAGTAATTGGAGCACTGGGCTTCGTGAGAAAA